GGGCCGCTCGTCGCTGTTCCAGGAGAAGGCGAACCTGTACCCGCCGAGCAACACGCCGGGCGAGGGGCTGAGCCACGGCGGCGGCCTGCGGCCCAACGGGCAGACGAAGCCGCTGCCCGCGCTGAGGCTGGCGCTGGAGTACATCGTGCCGTGCATGAACAAGCACGGCATCTGCGTGGTGGACGACTTCCTGGGCAAGGAGACCGGGCAGCAGATCGGCGACGAGGTGCGCGCGCTGCACGACACCGGCAAGTTCACCGACGGCCAGCTGGTCAGCCAGAAGAGCGACTCGTCCAAGGACATCCGAGGCGATAAGATCACCTGGATCGAGGGCAAGGAGCCCGGCTGCGAAACCATTGGGCTGCTCATGAGCAGCATGGACGACCTGATCCGCCACTGTAACGGGAAGCTGGGCAACTACAAAATCAATGGCCGGACGAAAGTAAGTGTGTGCTCAGCCCTTGCCCGCGACAGGAGCCGCTTAACGGAGGAGCACGGTGTCTCTGTGCGAAAGCGACGTCCATGTGCAGCACCCCACTAAGAGAACGGGTAGAATCCGTCAGTAGGTGTTTATCTAGTTAGCCCCTTTCTCTGTGCCCACTGTTTTCCACCTACTGTCCGTTCGCAAACTTCTCCGTTTTCTGGCTGAACTTAGGCTCTCCTTTTAACTTCTGTCTTCTCTCTCCCGTTGCACTATTAGTTCAAACCTAATTGGAGTTTTAGCTGCCCAGTGGGGGGTATTAAAGTACCGCCCAAAGCAAGTGCTGGTTCTTCCTCTGCCTTGTGTTTTCCATCCCCCCTCCATTCTCTGGTCTTTGAACCGTTCGTCCGATTCCGGCCCACCGAGTCGAATGCTGTGTTTAGTTAAGAATCTGCCAGCTGACCACAAAAAGGTAAATTTAAAATAAGCATGTAGTCAAGAGTCCTCCTTCAGGAAGAGCTTGGCTGCTCCCCTCCCCCTCTCCCTCTCCGGCCCTGCAGTTTTGAAACCCACTGCACAACGGGGGAAAGAAGTGTTTCCGTTTCCAGACCTCTCCGTGTAGGTAGGTTACATTTTTAGCATAGGTTTCCTTTATTTGCTTTGTTAATCCCTCGGTTGAAAAAGAACTGTTTTGTAGCTTCCTGAAAAAAAAACACACACATGGAATTGGAGCAGGGGTTGAGGGCTCATTCTAACATCTCAATTTGGTGAAATTTGTTTCCTCTTTACAATTGTAGCTTTCCCCCAACAGATTCCTCAGTTCCTACCTTACTGATCCTGGTAAACAGTAGATTCCTTCCTCCTCAATAATCTCTTGTAGTCCTTTTGCATTTTCCTTTCCAGATCTTAATATTTTCTTTGTATCCAGGTTCATTCCAGGCCACCCAGCTCCACACACCTTCATCAATATCTGATTTTGTAAGTTTTGGAGAGCTTATTTTAGATCATCACACCCTTAGGGGTTTGTACCCACACACTGACTCTTCCCAGTAGTTCTTTGTGTGTCAGACCATCTATTTTGATAATCATCATGGATGACTCTCAGGCAGTGGAGAGGCTGAGCATAGGCAGTTAAGAAAGTTCTAGACATGAAAATTTTGCACAGGGAAGTACAGTGGGAAGTCTGATTTATGTCTTGCTGCTTCATTGCTGTGGGTGAAGGTATGTCTTAATATGTTTTCCCCAAAAAAATGAACAGTTGCTTAATATTAAGCTGGAAGGAAAAAAGGGGGCTTGATTCAACCTTAATCTTGGTCATTAATGAGATTTTCATTGATATATTTTTAAATAACTTTATCATGGATTAAAAGAGTGTAGTTGTGAACCCTAGAGCAGGAAAGCAACTAGCTTGAGGGAATATTAATATAGCTCTGTGAAGACTGACCAAGTATATTGTTGGGGTATATAAGCTTAAGGTGAAGCCATGACGAAGATAATGTCCTAAATCTTCCTTGATCTACTTTCCATAGTTAATTTAGGTTTTCATGTTAAGCTCAGCCCTCTTCTCTCCTATTTTCCTGTTTACTCCTGTCCTCATCAGTAATCAGCATCTCTCTTGGAGCAGTTGCTTCTTATGAAGAGGCTGTTAGAAAATAACCATCTCCTTCCTAAGATGTCCCAGTGGCTGAAGGGGACAGTAGTTTAGGTTTTCAATTAGTTGACAGCACATACCCTTATGTGATAAGGGACTAGCTGAAGAAAGGATGGACTTTAAACTCTTGAGATTTGATTTAATGCTTACAGTAATTTTAAGGACATAATAATCTCAGGATCTATAAATGATTTTAGGGAATCCCTTTTATTGTACTTCTTGGCTGAGAGACTGTTTGCTAAACATGCATGGTTAATCATGTAATTTAACTATTCCTAAAAAAATCCAAAGATGCTTGCTTTAAAGGGGAATGGGCCATCATACTATATTGAGCAACCACAGTGTGCTAGGCACCAGATTAGTTCCAATACAGATATGATCATGATCATCTTAATCCTGTGAAGTAGGCAGTATCATTTCTAATTTACATCTGAGAATATTTCAGCTCAGACTTGTCCAAGGCCTACACTGTGAATAACCTACAGGATTCATACTTAGGTCCTTCAAATATCAAGCTCCATGCTTTTGTTTTTTGGTGTTTTTTTATTACACTGTACATAGGTAGGGTATTAGATGGGAAGATGTAGATTACTTAGCATACTACTAAAACTAGAATTTTATATATATATATATATATATATATATATATATATATATATATTGTTGATAGTGTGTGAATAGTATTAGCCTTGTGTTACTGTTGGACTGTATAAATTTTGATTAGGTGAATATACAATGTTTATTTCAGAAAGTGGCTGAAAAACCACTTTATAGTTATCCACCTGAATCATGCTCATTTCAGTATAGTAACTCTTAAGAGAGCAGAACTTTATTATCCTTTACAACATTATAGTGATTTGAAAAGTTACTTGCCTCAGTGTGTAGTATTTTTCTCACCTAGATTTTTCACAGCAACTCTAAAATAGGTAGGTCATTGCTGTTTATAGATCAGAAAAGCTAGCCTCAGGAGTGTTAAGTCACACCTTACAAGGAAATCATGCAGGATACCAAGACTTAAATTCAGGTTTCTGAACAAGATTCTGATGTTCTTTCTCATTTACATTATTCTGTGTGGTCTTTGTGTATGTCAGGGCCTGGTAATCACATGATATACAATTGGCTGCGACTCATTCAGTGTAGGCTTTGATTTCCCCCAAGTTTCTTCAGACATGCTTATCTGGCCACCGTTGTCCAACTACTTTAAAAGAGGAACTACAGGGGAAGGGTGAAGTAGTACAGGGGAAGAAGGGGATTACACTTGTGGCCCCTGATGTAACTGAGCTCTTGTTTGCACTTTCTCTGGTCCTTTTTGGGGGCCCCCCTTGGCCCTTAAACTGCCCTTTGATCCTTGATCTTGTCTCATACTCTTTCTTTCATGGAGAAAACTTGCAATGATGTCCAGTAGGGAGGAGTCATGGGCTGCTGGTTTGTGAAGAGTAGTGTTCCATAAGAAATCATCCATGCCTTTACTAGGGGGCGGAGGAAGAAGAGGAATGCCGAGGACTAAGGATCATGGGAAACTGTCAAATTATTATTCATTTGGAGATTCTTAGCCACTCTAAAGGAAAAATATTGCCCATTAAAAATGCTAAAATCATATACATATTGTTAGAATTTTATCCCAAACTTACTCTGTTCAGTTAAAATGTACATAAAGAAAAGACCCAGCTGGCGTGAGTGTCGACCTATGAACCAGGAGGTCATGGTTCGTCTCTGGTCAGGGCACATGCCCGGGTTGCAGGCTCTACCCCCAGTAGGGGGCGTGCAAGAAGTGGCCTGTCAATGACTCATCGTTGATGTTTCTGTCTCTCCTTTTCCCTCCCTCTCTCTGAAATCAATAAAAACAGACTAAAAAAGAAAAAAAAAAGGAATGATAAGTTGAGGCCAATAAGCAGCAAATTATATCCCTAAGATTTTTCACTTAGTACTGCAGTTAATTACTTAGCTTGGGCTGATTATGGCTTTTAGAGCAAAGAATAGGATGAGGACAGTTCTGTTACTCTGTGATCACTACTGTAGAAGTGGTGAGGACAGTCCTCTTAGATGTCACAAACAAAACCAGCAGCTTGTTTAGTGTTGTAATAGCTATCTCAGAATTCAAGATCAAAGCCAGTTATTCTGTATGCAGAAAGGCTGAAAATGTTGGTACTTCAATGATTTTTACTTGGTGCTTTAAAATTTAAGAGATACATGTGGACCGAAAGAGTAATCTTAATAGGTTACGACAGCCTATTTCCTTTAAAGTTCAACTTTAAAGGAAAACATCTTTTATAGTGAATTAATGTACATGTAGTTTACATATAAAGTAACTCCTTTACTTGTAAAGGAATTTTATATTAAAGGTGGTCTTTTTTGTGTGTGTTTTTTGTTGTTGGTTTTTGGCATGTTTATAACTCTTATCTATTACCTAATATGCCACAAAAACACTGCAAAAAATATCCTTAGTCACAGGAGGGCATCTAAACGTAGATGGATAGTGGACTTTGTGCTGCTGTTAGATCTGGGTTGGATCCTGGATCTGCCACTGTTTCTGTGTTCAACCAGTTGTTTCATCTTTCTGAGCCTCAGTTACTTCATTTGTAAAATGGTGTTAAATGATATCTGTCTTCTGCCTCTCAACTTTCTGAGTACATATATGGAAAAGCACTTTTTAGCCCTTGCTAGTTTGTAGTTTGGCTCAGTGGTTAGAGTATCAGCCCTCGGACTAAAGGGTTCCTGGGTCGATTCCAGCCAAGGGGCAGGTACTTCGGTTGCAGGCTCTATCCCCGGTGTCGTGTGAGGCAGGCAACCAATCGATGTCTCTCTCTCATATCAATGTTTTTTTCTCTCTCTTTCTTTGAAAAGCAATGGGAAAAATATCCTTGGGTGAGAATTTTTAAAAAAAGCACTTTTTAAATTGTAAAGCATTATGCAAAACTGTTGTTAACTGGTACTCTTTCCATTTAAATTTTTTTTTATTTTTATGATTCTTTAAGAGTTCTGTGCTTTCCCTGTCTTTCTACCTCTTAGAAGCTGGAGGAAAAAGACTTAGAATGATCACCCATTTTTGACCTAACCATTTCTACACGCACACACACACCTTTTTTTTTTTTAAACAGAGGAAATAAGTCCCAGAGGTTAAGTGACCTACTTGTTCAAGGTCATGGAGCTGGTTAGGGACAAGACCGACTGACTGACTGATTTAGTTAATTCTCATATCTGTAACTTTATGCTGCATCTCATGTTAAAATTACATATTTCTACTTAACTAATTTGGGACTATTTTATGCCATTTTTGAGGATTGCTTGAACATTTATGACTTCCTTTTCCTTCTCCCATTTGCTCGTCATTCTGTGCTTTGGATTATCTGACATCCTAGTTTAAATTTTC